TTTACATACCTGCTGAAAAAACAAGTATCTTATAAGTATGACACAAGCTTAAAACAGTTGTTAAGGCTCAAGGTTTTTTTTTTCACTTTCATGATGGGAGAGGGAACAGGGCTGAGCCACAGCTCTTTGTGTGAATGGACATGCAGACCAGTGGCTCAGGAGCGAGCCTGCTTGGGTGCCCCCATAGCAAGCTTCTTGCTCTGGGGGTACTTGGCAAGAGGGAGGGACCAAGAAAAAAAAAAAAAAAAAAAAAAAAAAAAAAAAAAAAAAAAAAAAAAAAGCAGGAATCCCTGACCACACATCACCCCTCAGTTTTGGGAAACAATGAGGCACACAAGCCAGAGCCAATGGTTCTCTGCATCCTGTGATGTACTCCAAGAAAAGTAATTCAAACATTTCTTTACTGTACACCACAGAACACAGAGGAGGTAATAGAAATTACTGCATGACATCTCCCACAGCAATGCATCTGAGGGGTGGACAAAATAGCAACAAGGCCAAAAAGGCCAAACCCCAAAACAGAACTGAGGAACCCCCAACAAAGCTGTCTGCATCACACAGCATGAGCAACCTGAAAGACACCCTGAACAAAAGCTTTGACCAAGGAATAAGATGCAACAGGTCTATGAAAAAGCACTAGAGAAGGAGAGAAGCGCCTCTAAGTGCAATATGACTCTATTCAAAGTATATGTGTAGGAACACTCACATAAATAGATTAAATATGGGCATAAAAACCGTGGTTAATAGGTAGGGTGGACTCCAGGGTGAGAAAAAAACGTCATTTGCTGCGATGTGGAGCGGTCAGCTTGTCGCTGGAACAGCGTGGTAGCTGGAGGAGAGCAGCGGTGAGGCCAGCCGGCGTGCACGTCCTCCCTCTGAGCTTGGTGGAACGCACGCTGGAGCGCAGCGGCGGCGTCGCCGTGATGACATCAGACACCCAGGATGCACTGCGACGCGTTTCGGAGTATGCACTGGCCGTGGAAGGCGGAAGTGCGCTCCTTTTTCAAGCAGCCACTGACGGTTCTCCACAGCAAGAGTAGAACCTTTTGTGAGGCCTGCAAATTTGGATGTGTAGGCAGATATACTTAATGTCAAATGATGCCAGAAGACTCCTAGATGAAGCAATCACCAACCAAGAAGACTCCATTCTGAATTTTCAGGAACTTTGTGAGACCCTTGAGGTATAGGATAGGTTGGACATCTCTGTCTGGGTTGGGAACTGGCTGGTATGCCTGAGATTGAGCAACTTCGAAGGTATGGTGGTGCAAAGGTGTTCATACCTGACACTGGCTCAGAGCTGATTGCCATGCTGAGTTGCAGCTGTGGAACAGTGTATTTGGTAGGAGGTAATGGACTAACCTCATGGTAATATGCATAGTCTTATCTGCAAACCAGGGTCTATAGTTTTCTGCTGTCCAAAAGCCCGGTGTTCTGAGGAAGTAGGCATATTGTTTGGAGAGGTGGTAGGTGCAGTTTACTGGCCTGCTGTTGCGTGCTAACATTTTTTTCTCCAAAACTTCCATCTCTGCTTTCTTGCATGCAGCTTTCGCTCCCATCTCTGCTTCCATCTCCGCTTTCTTTTGATCAAAGGACAATCAACATGGGCTTTAATAAGTTGTTGGCTGAGAGAGGAAGATCTTGACTTTAGAGACTTGGAAACTTTAAGAGGTTAGTATATTTAGGGCAGTCTTTGATAACTCTCAGTTAGCAATGGTTTGTGATCTCTTTAACTGATCCGTTTGTGGCGAAATAGCTAAACCTACAGTCTCAGTAGCTTGGCAGACAGTGACTGCATCTAAGAGACCTTAGAGTCTAAAAGTGGTTGTAAACCCTCACGTATACCCAGTGAAGTAACTAGCCTGATACACAGATGAAACAAATTCTCCTAAATATATGTTGTTTTCATTTATCGGAAGTCTTCTCTTCACCCCAATCAAAGTTCAGAATCTATACAGCTTATCTGTGATTCCAGAAAGCAAGGGCGGCGGAGAGCTAAAGTTCAATTCTGAAGAGCTTAATGAGGAGAGCCGAGAGTTGATTGAAAGGAAGGGACACGGCACACAGAGAGAGCTGAGGCTGTCAGTCACAGGCTCTGTGTGCTGGTGCTCCCTCCCATCACCTTTTTTTCTCTTGGTGTCAGGATAGTAAAGGAATGAGGCAGCAGAGAGGTTACACTTACAAGGCAAGTACACAATACAAAGAAACAGTGCTTTGTTTAGATTTCATGTGTGAGGCTTACAACCACTTTAAGGGCTCTTTCACACCAGAGTTTCTACCACAGCTGCTGGTGTGCTGTGAACAAAGCGCTACCGACATGTCAAATGACACATTGCTTTTTTGTTTTCTAATTTCATTAAAATGTCACAAAGTGGCATTCATTCATCTTTATTCCCCACAGTGGGTTGTGAATGTGGTGTACTGCTTTGCAATACGCAGGGTTGAAGAAAAGAAAAAAAAAAAAAATAGGGAAGGCCTACTTTTTTTCAGTGCACCCCACCTTCCCTATGCACTGGGACAGGGTTGGGCAATGCTGCCCATTCCAATGCATAATGGGCCCCAACCCCTAAAGCAAACACTATCCTAAATCCATGGTCACATGACTCATTGGATCCTGAGTCTTCTAACTTCCTCTACTGCAGAGGAGGAGGGACCTTCTTTGGGAGTCCAAGTCAATACCTGGGTAAACTCTGCAATGGCTGTCTAGCAGTGATTGCAGTTGCCTGAGGACATTTTCAAGAAGCAATAAGTCAGCCTAGGCACAGACTGCAGCACTGGGTCCAGCATGCCAGCAACAAATGGCGATGTTGTTAGGCAAGTATAATAATTAAAAAAAAAAAAAAAAAAAAAACGACTTCAGAAGTTTGGGGGGATTTTTCGGTGATGATTAATGAATGGCTGAGAGGAATGGTATCAAACCAAAACCCAAGTTTAAAAACAACTGACATTTGAAAATATAACTACAATACAAATAAGAGAAATTCTGTCTAAATAAAGGATAATGATATAAAATCAGAAAAAAAAAATGAAAATCACGATTCATTCACTATCAGGATTACAGAAAATCCAACATTTAAAAAGCTCTATTAACAGATCAGTTCGCAGCTGAATGTTGGAGATAATCCAGCATTACACAACAATTTCCAGCCCTCTGACAGATTAAACATAACAATATTTCCAGCTTGCTGTTCTTCCAGCCCCGTCTGGAGAAAAGACTGTTTAAAACCACAGGAGCACTTGCAGCTGCAGATAGGACTACAAAAGCAATTTGTGGTGGTCCCACTCAGGGGTGAAAAAACCAAAAAAGAGATATTGTATCCTAAACCTGGCAGTTTTCAAACATAGCATTGCTAAAATGGCTGCTAATGGCCAAGCAAATAAAGTCGGAGACCTCATTCAAAGCATGCAATTAAAAAGGTTACTCTTTTTCAGGTTTTGGAGTTCATATTACCATGCTGGAGAGAGAATTTGCAATGTGTGCAAGTACACACTGCACAAAACACTTTTCTTTAAATTGTACGCCAAGGTAAAAAGTTGTTTCTAATTTGACTAGAGCAGGGAGGAGTAAGAACCTCCGTTGGTATTTTACTGCTGTCTAGGGCTCCGTTAGAGAGATTTCCCCTCACTTCCTGTTCTACTGACAAGGTTTTCACCAGACAAGAATAAGTGACCATCTGCAAAAGGGACAGAGAGAAATAAAAATCTAACAGAGGTTCTAGTGTTCCCCCACTCCACTAAAGAAAAATGAGAATCACTCTCACTTTCTCTCTGGTAAAAATTGTCACCAGGGCAGGAGATGAGGAGAAAGCTTTCTAACAGAGCCTACGATAGCAGTAACGCTTGACGGGTTCAAAACCTTTTACGCTCAAAAAAAAGAGAAGAGGAAGAAAAAAAAAAGGAGAGAAGAAGAAGGAAGGAAAAAAAAAAAAAAGAGAAGAAGAAGGAAAAAAAGGAGAGAAGAAAGAAGGAAAAAAAAAAGGAGAGAAGAAAGAAGGAAAAAAAAAAAGGAGAGAAGAAAGAAGGAAAAAAAAAAGAGAGAGAAGAAAGAAGAAAAAAGAAAAAAAGAGAGAAGAAAGAAAAAAAAAAAAAAAGAGAGAAGAAAGAAGAAAAAAAGAGAAGAAAGAAGAAAAAAAAGAAAAAAAAGAGAGAAGAAAAAAAAGAGAAGAAAGAAAAAAGAAGAAAGAAAAGAAGAAAAAAGAGAAAAAAAAAGAGAAAGAAAAAGAAGAAAGAGAAGAAAGAAAAAAGGGAAGAAAGAAAAAAGGGAAGAAAGAAAAAGGGAAGAAAGAAAAAGGGAAGAAAGAAAAAGGGAAGAAAGAAAAAGGGAAGAAAGAAAAAGGGAAGAAAGAAAAAGGGAAGAAAGAAAAAGGGAAGAAAGAAAAAGGGAAGAAAGAAAAAGGGAAGAAAGAAAAAGGGAAGAAAGAAAAAGGGAAGAAAGAAAAAAGGAAGAGATAAAAGGAAGAAAGAAAAAGGAAGAAAGAAAAAAGGAAGAAAGAAAAAAGGAAGAGAGATAAAAAGGAAGAAAGAAAAGGAAGAAAGAAAAAAGGAAGAAAGAAAAAGGAAGAAAGAAAAAGAAGAAATAGTTGGACATACAAGTTAATCTATTAGAAAAAAAAAATCCTTCATAATACTTATCCTGTCCCCCCCCATCTGTGTGTTTGATCTTTCATTCATATATTTCATATACTGTTCAATTAATATTTAGGTGTCCTTCCACCCACTGGCCGCTAAGGCACCACTGCACCCTGTGCTGCAGAGTGGCTGGTAAGCAATGTAGCACCAAATGGCTGAGATCACACTGCATGGGGATGGAAGCATCTGACACACCTGTGATGGTCATTCTGCAATACAGCCCAGATTGGAGGCATGGGCAGTAGGAAAGGTAAATACTACATTACACTAATATTTTTCATATTATATGTTTACTAAACATTTTAGGCTATCAATTCGCTTCAAAACAGCCAGACCAAAAAAGGAAATTCTGGATTAAAACTGGTGCATCTTACCCGCCGATATCGGAGTCGGGTGGAGGTGAGGGGGAACAGGATTCGACGGCTGGAGTCACCTCTTCAAATGGACCTTCATCCTGAGATATCGGATGGTGCTCAAAGAACTTAGAGACAAACAGTAAACTGGAAGATGAAACAAAATGGAGAGCATGAGATTTGCCAAACTTGTGCAGAGTTCAGAGGCATTCACAGCTTCACAAGTACAAGAAAAATACCAAAAGTGGATAACATCGGGTCCATCTCAAAATTCCACAGGCAAGTACATGATCAACCATAACATTATGACCACTCAACTTAAAGCCGAGCTCCACCCAAAAGGGGGAAGTTCCGCTTTAAGGACTGCTCCCCATTAAGGATTGGCACATTTGACAGATACCTGCTCCCACTTCCGGTCCAATCGCCTAGGCGATCGGAAGGTGTCCTCCCTCCCTGTAGTCTTTTGGGACACGTGAAAGGTTCAAGACTACAGGACCATTCACAAAACGCAGCGCTAGTCGCGCGCATGTGCAGTGGGTACCCAGCTGAGAAGCCGCATGCTATCACAGCTGGGTGCCCACACTGAAGATGCCAGCCTCCTGGAATACAGGATGGCCAGTGAAACGAGCTGCAGGGGACAGACCACGGGACAGAGGGACAGATAAGTGGCTGGAGTCAGAGCTAAGTAGCTGCTGTTTTTTTTTTTGATGGTTGAGTGGAACTCCGCTTTAACCCATTGTGGACTCCACCAGACTTCTGAAGGCATGCTGTGGTATTTGGCACCAAGCTGTCAGTAGCAGATCCTTTAAGACCTGTAAATTGCGAGGTGGGTCCCCTATGAACTGGACTTGTTTTTCCAGCACATCCCACAGATAACCTAAAAATTCTTCAGAACTGAACCCATTTGAGCAAGTCAACACCTCAAACTCTTTGCTGGGTTACTCAAACCAAACCATTCTTGAACCCATCAGACCAGGCCACCTTCTTTCATGGCTCTGTGATCCAGTTCCAATGCTCACATGTCCATTATAGGCACTTCTGGCTGTGGACACAGCCACTGTGGGAACGCTGACAGGTCTGCTGCTACGCAGACCCATACACAACAAATTGAAATGCACTGTGTGTTCTGACATCTTTCTATCCGAACCAGCATTAACCAATTTGAACTTCAGTAGCTGTTCAATTAAATCAGACCAGCCTTCACTCCCCATGTACATCAGTGAGCCTTGGCCACCCATGACCCCGTCACTGGTTGGCTGGTTTCCTTCCTTGGACCTCTTTCAGTAGGTCCTCACCACTACAGACTGAAAAGATCCTACAAGAGCTGCAGTTTTGGAATTTCTCTGACCCACTCATCTAGACATTACAATTTGGCCCTCATCAAAGCCGCTCAAATCCTTACACCGGTTGATGTTCACTTGCTGCTTAATATATCCCACCCATTTTCAGATGCCATTGTAACAAGATAATTAATGTTATTCACTTTACTTGTCAGTGGTCATAATGTTAAGGCTGATCAGTGTATACTAGATATCCCAGGGCCTAGGCAAATAGGGCTACAAGCAAAATGGAACACTATTTACAGGTCACATTGGATATTTCAACAGCCAACAAGTAAAACAGAACAAGCCAAGACAGTTTACAGAGCTTATTGCTGCCATGCTAAAATTTGTCCCTTAAAATTTAGTATTTTGGTTTTAACGCTTGCACATGTCACCTGTCTTGCTGGGACAATTATATATATTGCAATATATTGGCAGACATATCTACCTTTCTACAAAAATATGTTCTGTACATCTCACAAGAATAGCCTAGGCACCTGAATAAAAAAGGGTTTTTTTTTGTGGTTTAAAGTATATGTGAAGTCAAAACTATTTTAGATTTGGATAGAGAGGAAGGGCAATTTCTTCTGAAAAGCTTTTATTGCTGTCAGAGACCGCACTGTGAAGATTTACCCGCCAGTACTGGTCCTAGTGACTGCTAGTACAGACAGTGATGGGAAATGAAAAATGCTTACACTGTCACAGAACAGGAGGGGAGGGTAAATGTTCCAATGATGGCACCTGTTTTGATGAACACTATTCAAAGATGAGATTTCCCCTCACTTTATAGAAATTACCTATCATTTCTTCCTGCATTTATGAGAAATTAAGTGAAAGGAAATCTCTCCAATATGACACAGACAGCAAAAAATATGTCAGGAGATTTAACCCCTCCCTATATCCAAGAAAAAAAAAATAAATAAAGTACAGCGTTACCAGTACAGAAGATATCAAATACTCACCTGTCCTGCCACCTAGACACCACCAATCTTTGCTGCAGTGAAGAGAAACTTGCAGCAGAGGATCATGCAGGATTCCACCAATTTCTGGTCTCCCGCTGCACTCAGTGGTTCAGTCTGTCAGCGCCTATGTCACTACTATGTCCTGTAGTAATGTACGGGCTGGAAGAAAAAACCAGAATGCACAGCAGGGGACCAGGCACCTGATTCTACTGAAGTGTTTGATTCTGCAGGATATTTAAGCAATTGTTTGGCTTCATTACGTCAGTTAGCATAGGCAGTAGGAGAGGGGTATATTCCATGACAGATTTGCAAGAGGCAGGAGGTATTTTCGAACATTTTAGTGAATCCCTTTAAATATTCACTTCTCCCTCAGAAGGATAATGGCTACTCTTGCTGGTGGCAGAGCCAACAACCCTGAACATATACCTAGATGTCGAAGTCCTGTTTCACATGGGCTTCAGCTCGTAAACAAGCAGTGTGAACAGCAAGCTTTTACAAAGCTCTTTGCGAGATTCAAGTAGCTTTCTCTAAGCCTTTAAAATGCCCTTCAGCTACCATTTGGAAATGTTATACAAAGATCTCCATGGGAGTGCCGATTGCCACTTTAAACAAGCTGCAAGCAGGCTTCATTAGCTATTCAACAAGCTTCAATTAGTGCTGAAGCCTGCTAGGAGCTTCTTTAAAGTGGCAAATCAGCACTCCTATAGAGATCTTTGTTTAATATTTACAAACTGGCGCAGATGGGTGCTTTAAAAACTTCAATGTGGCTAGCTGAAAGTTCTGCAAATGATTTGAAAAAGATTACTGTTCACACTGCTTTTACAAGCTGAAGCCTGTGAGAAACGGGCCTAAAAGTTGGTTTTGGAAAGCAAACTTTACAGAACACATTTATCTTACAATGGGTGCTTACTCAAGTCTGTCGTAGTTGACGCACATAAGGGGCACCTCCGTGCTGCACCGCTGGTGGAATTTATAGCCACAAGTTTGGCAGCGAAAACCCTGGAATAGCAGCTTCCGGCAAAAGTCACAGAACGCCAAAGTGAAGAACGTTTTTCGTACCTGGAAAGGGAAAAAAAAAAAAAAAAAAAAAAAAAAAATCAGGAGCACACAAGTCAGGAGAGAGGCTTCAAGCCAACAATGGAAAAATCATCATTAGTGGTTAATACTGCTCCCATCAAGAGGTATTATAGTGTATTGTATGGATACTCTCTGGCCCCCCAAAGTCTATACACATATTACCTTAGTTGTCACTGAAACACGTCCCCATTTGTAAAGGTTTATGCCCCTCTATTTTGGTGAGAAATGTCAGATTCTAAATGGCAACACCCTGAATGCCAATGGTTGAAAGGTCAAAAGAAGTAGAATCTTCCTATCAGGAACCACAGACAGCAAAAAAAAAAAAAAAAAAAAAAACCAACCATGCTGCCAACTTCACTGGATGCGTTCCTCTTTCACCCAGCATAGCCTGACAACTAGCATTTTCAGAACAGAAATCAAAACCCTCCACAAAGTATACTCACTTATCCTCTCCCATGCTCTTTTAGGTATCAACAACGGAAGTAAATACCAGTAATTTGGCGTATAATTAAGCATGTGCCATACTCTGACAGTGCGGAGCTAATGATCATTGTCACACAAGGATTCTACAACCCTGTGAAAACTAGGATTGTAGCAACTTGCACCTTCCACAGAACTTTCGTTTAGCTTTTGTGGGCTGAATGAAATGGGCACAGAGATTCATGTTAAATCTGAAGTGTAATCTTCCTATACTTTGATTTTCTTGGTTCTTACCACCCCCTTAACATTCTAATGAAATTTTGAAATAAAATCCATTTTCATGAAAACACCCGTTGGTATCATTGGATTTCTGTGCTTCTCTATTCAATGAAGGCTGGTTTTAGGGGTCAGCAGGGTGCTGTACACAGCCTTCAGAAAACAGGAAGCTGTGGCAATGCCCACAAGTAATGCCCAGTCTTCATGATTGAAAGAACTTAAATCAAATCAATCAAAGGGGCAAACCAGTAACAGCAAGGTTGGGGAGGAAAGCACTAGATGATGATGGATGTCCTCAACCTAGGAAATGAGGCAGGCAGTGACTTGCTGCAGCTTCTAATGAACATTGGGAAACTAACCATGTGCAGGGAAATCAGAGACTGCAATATCAGTACAGGAGGGGAGCCAGCATTAAAGCAGATGGCAAGCCCGAATAAAAAATAATCTGTCATTTAATGAGAGTTCCAGAATATCCAATACTGTATGTGTTTTCATTTAAAAAAGTATTTTAGGAAGCAATCTTGCGAGCTGCCAATGACATGTTCATATGACAGTGACCAGTATCTTCCTCCTGATCAGCACTGCCAACTTCCCCCATGATTTTTTTTTTTTTAACTCACAGAATCTGAAAAATATACTGATGGGACACATTTTTTACTTACAACCTCATATATGACAAACTGCTAATGAAAACTAAAACAATTATTATTAAAAAAGCATATACAATATACACAAGTAAACTACCTATTGTTAAAAGATCTGGGGTAGGTAATGGACTGCTGGAGCGTATAGCATGCTATACTGAATTGTGAGTATTACTTGGATTGCATATGCCACACAAACATGGAGGCAATGGTTTACTAGTAGAGCACATACAGTGCTGCATTAAAATAATGGGATAAAATAATAAGTGGATAAAAATGCCACTGTGTCGGTTGTGCCAATGGAAGGATAAAAAAAAAAAAAAAAAAAAAAAAAAAAAAAAAAAAAAAAAAGACAATGACTGAGGGAATAGAGGAAACTCCCATTCATTCACAAGAAACTGAATGAATGAGGCAATGTGGGCGGAGCCCCATGCAGCCACAATCTTTCCAAAAAATAACAGTGGGTGGCCTGCTTTCACAGGACAGGGGAGACTGGCAGAATTGGCAGCAGGAGCTGGAACATTTTACATGTTCTAACCCAAATACGGGTGGAACATGTAACAGGTTCCAAAAAGGTGGACTTATCCTAAAGAAAAAAAAAAAAAAAAAAAAAAAAAAACGCAACAAAAACACAACAAAACATTTTTTTCAAAAAAATAAAATGTCAAAAGAAAAACAAAACCACATTTCCTGCATTACAGTCAACTTCTATAGTAGCGTGTTCATATGTTCACTTTTAAGCTATATGATAATTATGTACAGCTGTATTTTAAAATATGCCGAGTAAGGTTTTTTTTTTTTTTCCCCTAAGCAAATAAGTGTACAGTAAAAAAAACACTGAAGTAGAATTCCCACTTCTAAAGTGTACTGTAATACATACAAAATTATGTGTAGTGAGGGGCACGTTCTCCAGAACCTCTACGTGTAGCTCTTCCCCCGTAAGCCAGCTGATGTCTGTGTCCCAGCCTATTGGCTTCTTCTCCCTGTCAAAGAAGAATCCTTTAATTACAAACAATGAACAAGTTAAAAAAAACAAAAAACACCCACACTTTAAAATAGGAACTTAAATAATCAATGAAAAACTATACAACCATCAACCTTCTCCACACCTCTCTGCTTTTGGTTTAACATAGCTTACAGAGGGATAGAATGGGTTTGGCCATCCAGCTGGGAAAGCGTCTGCCAAGGCCAGACAGCTGGTGACCATTTCCCATACATTAGTGTCTTGAAATACTTGCAGGGTAGTCCTTTGCTGCCACTGCTGTGTCTATGTCACTAAATAGGGGAGAGCAGTATCCTATGACTGCAATCAGCAGCAGAGAGCTCTCAGTCTTGTACTCTGAGTCCAGGGGCCCGAAAAAAACAAAACAAAAACGGTTGCCATGCATGCCCAGATGTGTAAAAAAGGACATTGCACATGTGCAGCGTAGCCAGATTCGCCCCTGCTAAACACCACCACTGCAGTGTAGTGCTGCAGCACCCCATTCCTGACATAAGAGTTCCAATAAAGCTATACCATCCAGCACAGCACAGCACACTAAAAAGGCACAGAAAAGGGAACACTACTAAAGGGGACGGCATTCCAGGTAACTTGGAAAGCACTGCCTGCATGATACAGTGCCACCTGGCAACATTACAGTCTACCCCCAGTCTTCCACACGCGGTCCGGGTACCATCCTTCAGAGCCATACAAGACCAATCCAGATAAAGACCTTTCCTACCCCATTGGGGGTGTATGGAATAGGCAGGAAAAAATCCATAGAAAACCAAATAATTTTCAAAGAGATTGCACAGATGCATCCATCACCTAAGGATACTAGCACGAAACTGAGGCTATGCTGTGCTGGCAGGGTTATGCCCAAGTGAGGAAGCCTTCCTTTTCTAGTCAGTGTCCATTCACCTAAAAATAAAACTGGAAAATTACAGTGCCACACCACTGCTAAGTGGTCGACATACAGCTTTATTCCAATAAAAGTCAGGGGGACAATCCAAAGAATATCCCAACGCATTGGACTACTCTTTGGATTGTCCCCCTGACTTGGGATAAAGTTTCATCTGGACCTCTTAGTGGTGAGGTGCTTCAATTTCCATCTTTGTTACATTACACTACAAACCAAGCTACTCTCTGTTCTAGAGTTTTCCAGCTACCCGTTAACATTTTTATAAGGACGTCTTACAAGCATACAGAGGGTACCTGCCCATCTTTTTTACATCACAGTATGTCAACACTGGAAGAGACTGTCAGGCTATTAATCCTAAATGGAAAGTCCTTGCAATAAAAGGATATTATATTCTCTAGTGGCCTTTAATACTACCAGCACTGCAGCCTTAGTCAGCCTCTTCAGCATTCAATACTCCTTGCGAGTAATGATCCCTGTGTCCCCTCCAGCACACTGTGGTTCTTTACTCTGACACACTAAGTCACTACAAGACTCAGCAGTGACAAAAAGGAGTCGAAAGAAGGAACCACGGCAAGCAGCAAGGGACTGCATTTCTGAAAAGTAAGGAAGACAGAAAACACTGGCAGCCAGAGAGGCATGTACAATATCTCTTTTACTGCAGGACCCTTCCTTTAGGATTTTTATTTAGTTTGACAGATGAGGCTTTGAAAAAAAAAAAAAAAAAACATTCTTACCCATCCTGGACCCTGTAGACTGCACAGCATTCTGGGATTAGACCTCGCATCATTAGTGCTTTCTTTAAGCTATCTCGCACGGTCACACCACACCTAGCTGGTACCTGGAGAGACAAAGATAGAACCAATGTTTTGCACAGGACCATTATACAGAACATTCATTTAGCGGTTCATATGGCAAAGATCATTAACTTTTTTTTTTTTTTGAACAAGTGTAAGGGTAGGGGGCATATGAACTGTATGAAACAACTTGATAATATTTTAGGAGATACAGGAATTTAGCTTGCATAATATATACTGTAGGTACAACCAAACACCATACATTAGAACTGATGGCCACAAGTGTGCTAAAGTACACTTTTGGTTCTCTCACTAATATGAATATTGCAAAATACTTATGTTTGTTTCTTTTCTGGTAAGAAAAGTTAAGCGAGCATCTTTTTCAACTGGTCTGACAGGAAGGACAAGGCAAGATACAGAAAACCTTCTTTCCACAGACTACCTATTTAGAGCTATAAATGTCTTTTAAGGCTGTACTAAAGGCAGATGTAGAAAAATGAATGTTTGCTCTTACTACAACTAGTACAGTATTTTTAAGTTTGACTTGATTTTAGTCTATTGTAATCTCAAGCACAGCAGCACATAAGAGAAGGAAGTGTAGCACTTGGGGCCAAACAGGTATGCTGCATTCACATGTGACAAATGAAGAGTGCAGAGACGACATAAATGTGTTGCTGTTGGGTGTCAGGTGGTGCCCTTACTGCAGTTAGGCAACAAAGTTAAGCGATATATATCTCTCTCACACCACACCTTTGGGAGGGCAAGACAGTTGCCATATGTGTATTTAAAAGGTTGCTTAGAAAACATGATCACATACTAACAGGGAACTGAAAAAAACAACACATTATACATGGCAAATTAAGTCACTATCAGGTACTTGTAAAAATGGCAGTCCCATAGATGATCCTGACTAAGCTATGCTTCTGTAATGCAGCTTCTCCTATAAAAAAGTATGAGTGGATCAAAATCCATTACATCGCTCATGGAAGTGGGGACAGCCCAAATAACACAACTTGGTGGTTCTGAGGCTTCATGGGAAGTGGGCTATAAACCAAATTATTACCCACGCTGAATATATTTTTATAGGCTGCCATTCATGCTGCCTGGTAGTCTCAGGCTTTAATACTGGACTCCTTGTTCATACCCCTAGAACAAGTAAGGAGCACGTAAAGTCAGATTGCCTGCATATGTGTTGGTCATGTCAGTAACTCAAGGTACTGAAGACAGTGCTACTCCAAGCAGTTATCCTGTAATGATCCAGTGACTCACATTAAGAGTCCTTGTGTTGAAAGAATATATCCTGGCTCTATGTACACACATAGGAAGAGGGTCAAATGCCACACTGGTCTGGTCACACAATCTCTCCAACAACGGCTGTAGAGCCCGGGAGATGTAGTCCATAGGCTTACTATGGGGCATCAGTTGTCAGCCGTTCCTACACTACACTGGGAGCCGATCATGTGACTGGAGCACCCTCAGAATAGGTAAACAGACATTTCTTTTACAGGGTAGTTATAATGGGCTTAGAATGGGGGCAGAGCAGGTTTAAGTATCATTAGCATTTGACTGGAATTCTACTTTAAGGCCAACATGCAAAGCTGTCAGAATGAACTGGGCTCATTTGCCCAAAAAACCCAGTAATGTTTTTAGCATCTACCAAAAAAAGTGAAAAATCAGTGTGTAAGTTGAGTTTTTTTTTTTTCCACCCATCTAGTAATGTCTTAAAACTGAACATACTCACCACTGTGCGCTGTTTGTTAGGTAGGAAGACTCTTACAATAGGTTTCTGAGGAGATTTGGGGTTAATACGAGCTAGGTCAGAGGGGTTCTGCAGGACAGACAAAGACGTGGGTACTAAAGACAAGGAAGAGGGTACAGACGATAGAGTCATTTCTGAGGACAGGGATGATGAAGAGTCTGTTCCATTCCCCATTGACTCCAGTAACTGCTGCTCCCTCTGCTGGAGGGCATCCAATTTACTTGTGTATTCCTCATAGGCCTGTGGGAAGAATACCACAAACAAATCAATAATGCCACTCTACATTTGTAAGGAAAAAGAGGGAAAGAAAGAGACAAGGAAAGAGGAAAAAAAAAAAAAAAAAAAAAAAAAAAAAAAAAAAAAAAAAAAAAGGAAAGGAGTGCGATATATAGACAGACACACCTAACAGAGAGGCTTGCATATTATAAAAGAGCACACAAGCAACGCGACCCAAATCCTGCAGACTGGTCTTAGATATCAAAAGAGCAAGCACACAGAGCCCCAATCCTGTGATGTCACATAATCAAGCTGGTAGTGAATAATATCGGTTTATTTATGGAAAGAATAAAGTGGAACTTTAGTCAGAGAATTAAGACCTGCTAGATCACTTCATGCTGGCCCTTTTGCAGGTATAGCTATGTAAAACATTAAAAATAAAGTACATATACTGTTTAAAGTGGAGTTCCAGCTGAAAATAAATAAATACATAAATAAAAGTCAGACGCTACAAAAACTGTAGCTGCTGACTTTTAAAACACAGACATTTACATGTCCCTCGGTCCATTGGTGTCCTCACCCCCGCTGGTTTCACCAGCAATCTTCTCTCCCTGGCTCCGGAATCTTTAGTGTGGGGACCCGGCTGTGACAGCTTGCGGGAGTGCGAGAAGCGTTGCGCTTTGTGAATGGCCCCGCATTCTTCTGGGACCTGTCACATGTCCCAGAAGACTACAGGAAGTAAGAGGGGGTGGGGGAGGTAGAATAACTTCTGCTTCCGATCGCACCGGAAGTGGGAGCGGGTACCTGTCAAATTCAAGTACCCGCTCCCCAAAAGGTGCCAATCCTTAATGGGGAGCGGGGGACAAAGCATTAAAGCGGAACTTCCCCTTTTGGGTGGAGCTCTGCTTTAAAATCCAGTAGCATACTCTCTCACCCTACTCTGAACATGCTCAGCTGCTTTCCATATTTAGTCACTGTGCTCAATTTGTAGAGGCCAATCTGATGACAGTCTAAAAGATTAAAGCGGTACGAAGCCCATCGATTTAACAGTTTAAAACAAAAAAACAGTTACATTCTTGTGTCAAACCATCAAATGATTGGTGTCATAACTGATCATATATGGAGCACCATGGCAGTTGCAGATCAAAGAGATGGCAGCTTGCTTGAATGAAAAGGATAGGAGGGTTTAGGTCTACTTTAGCTGCTGCACAGAGCTCTGGACTTCAACAAAATGGCAGCCCTCCAGCAAGAAGAAACAGGAAGAATGCGGCAGGCAATTTACAGCACACAATAATTTTGGTTGCATAATTATTAATGTGGAATGCATGTTCCTTGCTAAAGAACATTATTTTTTTAATCAATTGTTATGAGTAAAGTTCCGCTTTAAAGGAGAAGTACAGCCAAACCTCTTTTGGCTGTACTTCTCCTGTGGATCAGTGCAGATTGTTCTGCACTCCTGTGACCAGCTTTCAGCTGACTGCAGGCTGAAGCCTGCTGTTGGTTTATGTCACTCAGCCAGTCCAGGCTGGGGAAAGATCCCGACTTTCCAGAGTCTGGAGCGGCACCTGGCTCAGCCCGTCAGTGATCTGCTGAGAGCCTGAGACAGCCACTCCCTCCGCCTACACAGCCCAGCGCTCCAGTGTCCAGGGGGGCGCACAGCAGATAGTGGTGACTGACCGTGGCAGTGAGAACTCAGCAATCAGTGGTCATGTGATCGCCAAGTTCTCACATTTAGAGCCGACGGGAGACCAATGCTGAATCCACCAAAGTATAATTGAGGGGGGGAACAAACTTCTGTTTTAAAGTTGAGGAAACTGACATTTGTACAAAATTTCTACACAAGCCATTTTGTAATTTCATGTCAACAGTAGTTTAACACACTAAACACAACACACACACACACACACACACCCCAGCATTTTTGGCTATAATGTCTTAAAATCCCCAGAACATTATATACTTTTTGAAAGCAGAGGCCCTGTATAATAAAAAGGACGGCAGGTGGATAATATTTGCACAACGGTTTCTAAGATTCATTTTTGTAACACAAATACAATGTAATCCCCAAACATTTTGTACAAAATAAAAGATGCGGTGTCAAGTAAATAGACATCAAATGTGTCAAGCCTCAAAACTGTGTGCACCTGCAAAATGGTGAAAAATTACAGAGTTATCAATAGGTGGGGCTTTAAATGTATTTAATGCTAATCAGTTTCAAGCAGTGGTCTCCAAACTGCGGCCCTGGGGCCAAATGTGGCCCTTTACTTAATTTTATCTAGCCCTTGGGGCACTATTCCACCCACTGACACCAAGGATGGGGCACAGTTCCTCCCACTGACACCAAGGATGGAGGGCACCATTTCTCTCATGGATACCAAGGATGGGGCATTATTCTTCCCACTAACACCAACGTTGTAGCACCATTCCTCTCACCAATACCAATGACTGGGCACTATTCTTCCCACTTAGACCAATGATGGGGCTCGGTTCCTCCCACTGACACCAATGATGGGGCACTATTGCCTCCCCAATTCAATACATTGTAAACACCCACTGCCACAGTCCGGCCCCTCTAAATTCTGCAGGACAGTAAACTGGCCCTTTGTTTAGAAAGTTTGAAGCCCCCTGGTTTAGAGTACACTGTAAATCAGGAAACTAGAATTATTGTTGCCACAGTTGCACCAATACATAAGGTAAAGCACAATTGTCCTTTACATGCAAGTGCGTGGATATGGTGCCGTCTACATCCAAATGAGTGGAAAGGACATGGAGAAACAAAACGCTTTTCTTTAGAACAGAAATAGGAAGAAATTGAATACAAAGTTTGTTAAAATATTTGCAATCTACACAATAATCCAGAGGGGAATTGTACAAATTTCATTAAAAAGTGCTCTGTGTCAGTTAGACAGATAACCCCATCAGTCCTGTGTGAACTGGCAAGCAGGAATTGCCTACAAAATCTGTGTTACAACATATTCATGTGAAACTAGTCCACAATCCCTTGTGCTGGGCATGGGAAGGGGGAATGAACCATGCCAGTGTGTCCATTTGTCTGACATGTCAAATCTTGTCCTGCACTGGGAGACCTGCACTCTGCAATTATTGAAGGCCCAAAAGTAGCCTTTGTGGTTTGTAGCTCCAGGCCAACAGTCAAAATGGGGCAATCACATTTCCTGGTGTTTAACAACGTAAAAGACTGTTCATCAAACATTTATAAAACACTATCCCAGGTTTTCAAAGCTAAAAAGGCAGTATAACTACAGCATGTCACACACATTTAAAAAGGGGTGATCTTTCATAATATTTAAAACCGAAATGAAACTTTCAGTTCTATGAACTCCAATTGCATCAAAAAAAAAAAAAAAAAAAAAAAAAAGGACCACATTTACACATTCAAGTTGGATGCCTTCTGAATGAGCCCTTAGCTGGACAGGGATTTATTCAACAGATAGTAGTGGTCTGTAAAGTATGTGACTACACCTTTCTGATCAGTTTCACTTCCTACTTTTGCATCGCTTTTCTTTGCGTGAACATGCATAAATCTGGCAATTACAATGTAAAATGAAACCATGGCTCGTGAGAATTAATCAACCCTATCACTATAACAAAAAAAAAAAAAAAAAAAAAAAAAAAAAAAACTATAAGAAAAGGTAGCTTGTAAAAGAATAGGTTTAATACGTCTGTCCAGCAGGTAGAGGAAACTCTTCTCTCACTTCAAGAGCTCTGGGCACTGCTGCTATCAGACATCTCCAGGTGTGTCAGGCTGCATGTCTATACTGGACAATATGTATATATTTTTATTAATCGAGTTGTCATTTTTCTTTCCACTCGTCATTGATGACATTTCTCTCCTACATTAAATTGTAATTTTTTTTTCCTAGAAAATTACTTAGACTCCCCAAACATTATACATTTTTTTTTTGTACGCAAAGTCCTCAGAGAATAAAATGATGGGTGCTGCAATTTGTTTTATGTCACACAGTAGTTGCGCAGAGGCTTTTCAAACGCAAATTCTTTGGAAAAAATAAACGAATGAATTTTAGAAAACACACAAAAAATACAATAACTTTTTTTGGAAAACCATAAAAGATGATGTTACACTGAGTAAATAAATACCAAAACATGTCATTGCTTTAAAATTGCGCAGTCGTAGAATGGCGACAAACTAAGGTACTTTAAAATTACCCATAGGCGACGCTTTAAAAGCCTTTACAGGTTACCAGCTTAGAGTTACACGGGAGGTCTGGTGATAGAATTAATCCCTTGAATTGGAAGGAGATTGGGTACAGGAGGAGGAGAGAAACATAAAAAGATCGAGCCGCCAGTTCAGAAGCACATTATGTTTATGAAAAGTGTCACATTCAGTTTACACAACACAGGGTGGTATTAGCGAAGGACATATTCATTCTGGACTGGTGACAACTTTTAAGACTGGTTATGGGATAAACACCTCTGGAGGCAAGGAGACGAGGGAAAAACAAGTTTACAAATTTAAAGTCTTAGTGGAAAGGAACGATTTTCAAATCAGAGATTCATGCTAGATACAGTCAGGTCCATAAATATTGGGACAGACACAATTCTAACATTTTTGGCTCTATACACCACCACAATGGATTTGAAATGAAACGAACAAGATGTGCTTTAACTGCAGACTGTCCGCTTTAATTTGAGGGTATTTACATCCAAATCAGGTGAACGGTGTAGGAATTACAACAGTTTGCATATGTGCCTCCCACTTGTTAAGGGACCAAAAGTAATGGGACAGAATAATAATAATCATAAATCAAACTTTCACTTTTTAATACTTGGTTGCAAATCCTTTGCAGTCAATTACAGCCTGAAGTCTGGAACGCATAGACATCACCAGACGCTGGGTTTCATCCTTGGTGATGCTCTGCCAGGCCTCTACTGCAACTGTCTTCAGTTCCTGCTTGTTCTTGGGGCATTTTCCCTTCAATTTTGTCTTCAGCAAGTGAAATGCATGCTTAAATCGGATTCAGGTCAGGTGATTGACTTGGCCATTGCATAACATTCCACTTCTTTCCCTTAAAAAACTCTTTGGTTGCTTTTGCAGTATGCTTTGGGTCATTGTCCATCTGCACTGTGAAGCGGCATCCAATGAGTTCTGAAGCATTTGGCTGAATATGAGCAGATAATATTGCCCGAAACACTTCAGAATTCATCCTGCTGCTTTTGTCAGCAGTCACATCATCAATAAATACAAGAGAACCAGATCCATTGGCAGCCATACATGCTCACGCCATGACACTACCACCACGCTTCACTGATGAGGTGGTATGCTTAGGATCATGAGCAGTTCCTTTCCTTCTCCATACTCTTCTCTTCCCATCACTCTGGTACAAGTTGATCTTGGTCTCACCTGTCCATAGGATGTTGTTCCAGAACTGTGAAGGCTTTTTTAAATGACGTTTGGCAAACTCTAATCTGGCCTTCCTGTTTTTGAGGCTCACCAATGGTTTACATCTTGTGGTGAACCCTCTGTATTCACTCTGGTGAAGTCTTCTCTTGATTGGTGACTTTGACACACATACACCTACCTCCTGGAGAGTGTTCTTGATCTGGCCAACTGTTGTGAAGGGTGTTTTCTTCACCAGGGAAAGAATTCTTCGGTCATCTACTACAGTGGTTTTCCGTGGTCTTCCGTGTCTTTTGGTGTTGCTGAGCTTACCGATGCGTTCCTTCTTTTTAAGAATGTTCCAAACAGTTTTGTTTTGGCCACGCCTGTTTTTGCTATCTCTCTGATGGGTTTGTTTGTTTTTCAAGCCTAATGATGGCTTGCTTCACTGATAGTGACAGCTCTTTGGATCTCATTTTGTTAGTTGACAGCAACAGATTCCAAATGCAAATAGCACACTTGAAATGAACTCTGGACCTTTTATCTGCTCATTATAATTGGGATAATGATTGAATAACGCACACCTGGCTATGGAACAGCTGAGAAGCCAATTGTCCCATTACTTTTGGTCCCTTAACAAGTGGGAGGCACATATGCAAATTGTTGTAATTCCTACACGGTTCACCTGATTAGGATGTAAAATACCCTCAAATTAAAACGGACAGTCTGCAGTTAAAGCACATCTTGTTTGTTTCATTTCAAATCCATTGTGGATGTGTATAGAGCCAAAAATGTTAGAATTGTGTCGATGTCCCAATATTTATGGACCTGACTGTATGTGCACGTCTTTAAATCAAAAATTTATATTTTTTACTTACAGTATCTCACAGAAGTGAGTACACTCACATTTTTGTAATTTCTTTTATAATCTTCATGTGACAACACTGAAGAAATGACCCTTTGCTACAATGTAAAGTAGTGAGTGTACAGCTTGTATAACAGTGTAAATTTGCTGTCCCCTCAAAATAACTCACACAGCCATTAATGTCTAAACCGCTGGCAACAAAAGTGAGTACACCCCTAAGTGAAAATGTCCAAATTGGGCCCAAAGTGTCAATATTTCGTGTGGCCACCATTATTTTCCAGCACGGTCCTAACCCTCTTGGGCATGGAGTTCGCCAGAGCTTCACAGGTTACCACTGGAGTCCTCTTTCACTCCTCCATGACGATATGACCGAGCTGGTGGATGTTAGAGACCTTGTGCTCCTCCACCTTCCGTTTGAGGATGCCCCACAGATTTTCAATAGGATTTAGGTCTGGAGACATGCTTGGCCAGTCCATCACCTTTACCCTCAGCTTCTTCAGCAAGGCAGTGGTTGTCTTGGAGGCGTGTTTGGGGTCGTTATGTTGGAATACTGCCCTACGGCCCAGTCTCCGGAAAGGAGGGGATCATGCTCTGCTTCAGTATGTCACAGTACATGTTGGCATTCATGGTTCCCTCAATGAACTGTAGCTCCCTAGTGCCGGCAGCACTCATGCAGCCCCAGACCATGACACTCCCACCACCATGCTTGACTGTAGGCAAGACACACTCGTCTTTGTACTCCTCACCTGGTTGCCGCCGCACACGCTTGACACCATCTGAACCAAATAAGTTATCTTGGTCTCATCAGACCACAGGATATGGTTCCAGTAATCCGTGTCCCTAGTCTGCTTGTCTCCAGCAAACGGTTTTCAGGCTTTGTGCATCATCTTTAGAAGAGGCTTCCTTCTGGGATGACAGCCATGCAGACCAATTTGATGCAGTGTGCAGCGTATGGTCTGAGCACTGACAGGCTGACCTCCCACCCCTTCAACCTCTGCAGCAATGCTGGCAGCATTCATACGTCTATTTCCCAAAGACAACCTCTGGATATGACGCTGAGCACATGCACTCAACTTCTTTGGTCGACCATGGCGAGGCCTGTTCTGAGTGGAACCTGGCCTGTTAAACCGCTGTATGGTCTTGGCCACCGTGCTGCAGCTCAGTTTCAGGGTCTGGGCAATCTTCTTATAGCCTAGGCCATCTTTATGTAGAGCTACAATTTTTTTTTCTTATCCTCAGAGTTCTTTGCCATGTTGAACTGCCAGTGACCAGTATGAGTGAGAGTCATAACATCAAAATTTAAAACATCTGCTCCCCATCCACACCTTAGACTTTGTAACACTAAAGAGTCACGTGACACCAGGGAGGGAAAATGGCTAATTGGGCCCAATTTGGACAATTTTCACTTAGGGGAGTACTCACTTTTGTTGCCAGCGGTTTAGACATTAATGGTTGTGTGTTGAATTATTTTGAGGGGACAGCAAATTTACACTGTTATACAAGCTGTACACTCACTACTTTACATTGTAGCAAAGTGTCATTTCTTCAGTATTGACACATGAAAAGATAATAAAATATTTACAAAAATGTGAGGGGTATACTCACTTCTGTGATACACTGTATTTTAAGTCCCTTGTGTATTGATCTTCCTGTTTAAAAGGCCTACCTCCCTGCTAGTTGGAGAGTACCAGAAAGTTCATATTGCACAAGTATTTAATGTCATTGGTTTATGTTGTGGGCCCTTGACACTGAGCTCTGATGCCACCAAAATACACCGAGTAGTCTGGGCTTTCTCCTCTTGGAGAGATGAATAGCTCAGATTCTCTGAAGGTAATTGGGTCTGCAGATTTTACTTCAGCTTCCAATCTGCTTCCTTTGTTATGATCCTCAGATGGCTTAATTAGCATTAAGAGCACATTGGATTGATTTACCATAGCCCTGCAGTGACACTGTGCAAGAGGAACAAATAATGTCCCCCTTCATTCCCCTATACTTCAACTGGCTGCCTGCAGAGAAGACACATCTGGTACTGTCAGGTATGAGAAGCATGTGATTTTTCACCCTTACTCCAGCAATACTGCACTCACAGCTAATCACCACGTAGGGTCAGGAAAAGTCCAACCAAAGATTACACAGGACTCCTTGAACCATCAAGAATTACTGGATTGCAAGTGTCTATGACAAAGTAGGTCAGCATTAGTAAAGAACACTCTCACTTAAGTTCTAAAGTTTAAATTTTTTTTTTTTTTTTCGCTTGAATGCATTCTCCGCATTAAGGTTAAAAAACGTCCCCACTACCTGTCCTCTGGGCTTCACCGGGAGATGGCTTCCATGCACTTTCTAAATGAAACAAAAACGGACTACATAACTAATTCACAGAAACCTACCTCCACATAGATTGAGGGGGGATTGTGCTCGCCTCCGAATTTATCTAAGAGGGCTTCAATGTGCTCTTGGGTTAACTTAATCATCTGCTTGATGTTCCAGATCTGAAAGAATAAAAGAAAAAGAATATAAACATGGTCAAGATCAAATCCTAGTGTGTTCGCAAATAGAACCAGTTAACTCAAAGTATATAGAAAACATAAGTACAAAGGGTTTGTAGCAAAAAACACATTATCTGCTGAAAACGTGCTCTCCCACTCAAAACACACTGAAAAAACAAACAAAAAGGACTCCAGTTTCACAGGCAACAGTACTTCCAGCCCAGAGACCGCCTCCTCAAACGTGTTTCAACCAATAGGGCTTAGGATGTAAAGACTCTTTAGTGGTTGTCTGTGGAAGGAGGAAGAGGAAGAGAAGAAAAAGAAGTCAAGATTCGCTGATCCTAGGGGACAGCTAGAAAAAGTTTTTTGTGCCTAAAAAAAAAAAAAAAAAAAAAAAAAAACCAAAAAAAAAAAACACAAAACCAAACAAAACCAAAAGCCTCATAGCTGCATATCTGCAGTATAGGAAAATCTAAGGCACTGCTGGCTCTGACTGCTAGCCCCACCAGATTTGGAGTCAGACTTGGTGAGGTCACTACTATGTTGCTCACTGTTCTCTCTTCTGGGGAGAAAGATGTACCTGGGGACCTGCAGTGCAAGGATCTTGTTTCAAGCTATTTTAAAATTTGTGCTTCCACTACCTTTTCTGCTGCGTCTTGACTATTCCTTCATCAGTCATTAGAACACCACCACCTATTAGTGGATCAGCCATAGGCTCCTGCTGCTGTTTTAGGCCGTCATACATAGAGATTTTCTTTCCTGCAATCACTGGTTGATGGGGGAATCCCTCCCACTGAGCCTGTGTGTTCTCCCGGCGGGGGCTGTCCCTACTAGGAGAACACAGTAATTACTGCAAACAGCTATAATACCGGTTGGCAATAAATGGCATGTAAAGTCCAACAGGCTGGCTGTACCCAAGCTGATTGATTTGTCAACTTGGGTACATTCAGCCTTCCCATCTATGGTTCGAATCATGTATAGCAGGCTTTAGTCAAACTGCTGTAAGGAAGAAATGGAGGCAAGGCATACCCACGCTGTGTGTATCACAACAGCCCAGCTTGGGTGTGAATTGGAAGGTGGGAAGAGCAGACAGTACAATTGTGGAACTGTCACAAAGGAGATAAGGCACCGCTCTGTGCAATATTGATGTGCAGAGAAGGCAAGTAAAACAACCTGTGTACCCCCCACCACCCCCAAAAAGAAAAAAAAAAAAAAAAAAAAAAGTTATGCTTTCATATCACATTAAAACTTGAGAGCAGGAAAGACTTGTTTTTTGAAGTGCACAGACCACAATAAAGGCTTCACATGCGCATCTATGGTTTACATTCTAACACATCTTAGTGCCGGGATGAATGAATTCTTAAGTGTATGCATGGGAGTGAAGTCATCCCAGCCCATCTATCATGGGCAAAGACTCCAAACCTGGAAGAAGCCAGGCAAAAGATGGTGCTAGCAAGGGAGCTTGTGGACTTTGCATCGCAGGAGTGAAGGTGAGTGCTAAAGGGTTAAGTCTTGCACCATAAGCACTTCTGCTCAAAGCAACTCAAACAAATGAAAGGCAAAATTAAACAACATCTAGAAAACAAGTAAAAGCAACCAAGAAGCGAACTACATTTGGCTTGCTTCTGAGTGACACAGAGGCGTTTAATGAATGTTCTACCCAGACACTGCCAGATGAAAAGTATTTACTTGTGCCAGGGTACAGCACACTTCTGTGGCCTTGTTGATAAAGTCATCCTTTCAAATATTCAAAGCTTCGGATGTTCAAATTATTAAGAAAAACAGGAGGCAATGAAGCAATGTCAGTAGAATATTATTTGTACAGATGTTGGTGGACGCACACAGAAATACCCTTGATCTTTGTTTTGCATGACAGGAATCACTTAACGTTTAAAGGTCGGCATAAATAAAACTGCAGCCAAAAGAACAGCTTTGTCATGTTTAGATCTGCAAAGCAAGGGGAACGCAAATGAAAAAACACACAGCAGTTGAGAATTTAGCTCTACAGAAGAAATGCTGACAATACGCAGAACATACGCACACACACAAAAAAAAATATATTTATATATCATTAAAGGGTGGATTATTGTGGATCTTTTTATTTTTTGGAAAACTAGTGAAATTTCTGCTCATAAAAGACAGATACCTTCTGATATAATAAAAAAAAAAAACTGGATGTTTTCAAACATGCTGCATTCCCAAAATATAAGGGAAAAATATAGAGTTTCCGAGAGTAATAGGAAACGGAGAGGATTTAGAGCTGAACTCAAAGCAAAAACAGGTAAATTCAGTTTGGAATTTAAAAAAAAAAAAAAAAAAAAAACCCCACACTGTTTTACCTTTCAACCAGTCTCTTGATCTGGACAGCTCTGCAGGTTTGTGACCACACTTATCTACTGCAGTAGGGCAAAACAGGTTAGTCACTGACCTTCCCCCAGTCTGCTGAACAGAGTTAATGGAGGAACAATAGCAGACTAATCAGGTCAGAACTCTGCTCACTTGAACACTTCTACCACATCCATACGTTCAGTTTTTGCACACATTAAAATGCAAATTTTAGACCTGAAGATTAGTTAAAGCCCCTAAACAATATTTACGTCCTGAAGGCAGGGACCATGCAGAATAAAAATGGTGGCAGTTGCATTTTATGTCACGATATTAGCACATATACAAAAGATGGGGTTGCATTGAGTAAAGATACCAAACAAGTAGAGCCTTTATACAGCAACAAACTTTGGTTCCCAAAATGGTTCATAGGTGACAATGTAAAAGGCATTACAGCCTGTCAGTTTAGAGTTGACCATGAATGCTGGTCTGGTCCCAGAATTATTACTTTCACTCTGATGTGCGCAGTGATATGCAATATATGTACTGCAATCGTCATTCATATGTAACCAGACATGACAAGTGTTTGTTATGTAATTGCTTTTAAATTATAAAACTTTTTTTCCTCTGGATTACTATTATAGTAGACTGATAGTTCCCTTTGTGATAGCATAGTGGAAATTACAGGTCCTCTTTTAGGAAGACATCAGGGTCTCTTAAACCCCTAAATGTCACCTATGGACCTCACTGAAGCTGATAAACGTCTACCTCAGCTACAGCAGCCGGGAAATGACAGCTCTGGACCCAGAAAAGATTTCCTTTTCGACTTCATCATCCAGTGATCTCCCTCCGTTCCACCCAATGACAACTGCCTTGCCGGATCCAGGCCCATAGAAGCGTAAGCAGAACCTGGAATACATAGGTGTCATTGAGGTAAAGGATGTAGAACATACTCATAATCACTACCACCAGAAAGTCAGCTTACTGTATATATCGTACAATTGCTATATTGTGTTTAAAAGCCCTTGCTACTAGTTGACATTTGTAAATGGTGTGTTGGTAGACAAGTGGTTAAAAGCCAAATTCCAGGATAGGAGAAAAAAAAAAAAAACATTTTCCCTGTCTTTTTCCACAGTATAATACAGTTACTTAGTTTTATTAAAAATCACCTTTCTGCAGTTCTCTTGGGCTCACTCCAGAAGTAGGGCAACTTGGTTTATCAGGGTCTTCAGGTTTATGCCAACCTGCCACACCCTATCAGGACGACTCTCAGGGTCTGGACTACCGCTAGGAAGCATTTCCTACAGCCAGGACACTGGCCCCCATACCCTCCACTCTGGGGGAATCCCACACTCCCTCACTTCAGACTACTGCCTGATCCCCACCTTTGGGCTCAATTCAGAATTAAAAAATTATTAAGACTTCTTTCCCTTGGGATCTCTGCTCTCCTTTAGAGGCCTTCAGAATAAATTTAAGCTCCCTAGATGGATGTACTTCAGGTACTTCTAGCTATGACATGCAGTTAGAGCCCAGTTCCCAGGACCCCCCAGTCAACCACGGACCTATTGAGGATCTCCTGGCCCATGACTCCCTCTCCAAACCACTTTCCTCCCTTTATTCAGCTTTACTCTGTGTGGACTCCCCCAAAATGGAGGCCCTCTGGGAGACCCGGAAAACGAATCTCCTCACCCTAGATAGGGAGGACTGTTTTGAAGATAGCTCGAGATATTTGATCCAAACCAAATTCCTACACAGAGTGTATTAAACACCACATAAGCTGCATAGGATATATCCTGAGGTCTTCAGACTGTCCTCGATGTCACAGGTCCGAGGGCACTTACTACCATATGTTCTGGGATTGTCCGGACATATCCAGGTTCTGGGTGGCGGTGTTAGAGCTTGTCAATCTCCAACTGCAGCTGACCCTGCCAGCCTTGGTACTGCTTGGTATGCAGGATGAGCAGAGGCCCCCTGTACACTAAGCTACTGTTCTCTTACCTACTATACCAAAAAAGATACTTCATTGGAATGCATCCTCCACCCTCTCCATAGACTCCTGGGAAAAAGCTGTTAATATTGTTCTTCTGTACATTAATAGGGCAGCACAGTGGGTAAATGGTTAGCACTTCCGCCTGGCAGTACTAGGGTCGTTGGTTCGAATACCAGCCACGGCACCACCTGCCTGGAGTTTGCATGTTCTCCCTGTGCCTGCGTGAGTTTCCTCCAGGTATTCCGGTTTCCTCCCACACTCCAAAGACATGCTGGTAGGTTAATTGGATCCTGTCTAAATTGGCCCTAATGTGTGTATGTATGATTGTAAGTTAGGGACCTTAGATTGTACACCCCTTGAGGGTTAGGGACTGATGTAAATGTACAATATATATGTGTAAAGTGCTGCGTAAATTGACGGAGCTATACAAGTAACTGAGATAAATAAATAGGAATTGCACACTGAAATTTGATGGGGTATGGCAGACATGGCTGGACCAATGAATGAGCACCTCTTGTAGGTACTCCACCCTGGTACAGGACTAGGTGCAGCTGCGATCCCTTCTCGCTCGCAATCTGCAATGCATGGGAATGATACTGTAGTCTTATACACATAACCCTCTGTTCTTATGCTGTATTGTATTAGACCACCTGTATGTAATTCTAGTTGCATCACCTGTCTTTGTTTCAG